AAATTAAGCAGACTTTGGGAAAAGGGCATATGAAAAAAAAAATCTCAATAATTAAATATAAACAAACTCCAATAAAACTATTAATAATATTTTTTCTTTTTAAAACATGGGTTGAAGGGATGTTTCATAGCAACAAGCCAAGTGAAAAACTTTCAGTTTTATTATTTGAAAAGTTATTACTGTTATATATAGTATATTTCTCATCTATATATTATATACTATTAATCATTTATCTAAATAATTTACCACTTTGAGTACCACAAAGGCCCATTATTACCTGCTGGTTGCCATTTTGTGTGACGTTTGTGCTTCTTGCTAACCAACAATGTGGCTAAAATTACTACAATATTGATAACAATATTCTTTCTGAATAACTGTGAGAAATGAAAGGATTAAACAGTTCGTTGTATCATTGATTCTATTTAAAGTCACCGACCTAAAGTATTTTTCTGGTTGCAAAAACACAACCTATGTTTTATTTGACTTTAAGTTTGGGGTTAGAGGTTCAAAACAAAAAGGAAATTAAACTGACAGGAATAGAAATACGACCAAAATACTGTATATCACAGTAAACATATGTTAACACCCCTCTGACATATTAAGCCAGACAGTTTGCTCTGGTCCATTCATTTGGACTCTACAACACTCATCTCTCACAATATGTTTTCAAAAAAATGTCCTGATACTTCGCTCAGCTCTACGACCCTAAAACCTTTTTCACATTTTGACAAGTCATCGCAGGAAACCGCTGATTAATCACACGCTCGTGACTGCCTGTCTTGGTTTGGCCACTTTCAGGGCATGTTGCAGTTAACACCTCATCACTGTTGTGCTGAAGGTCACTGAGAAACCTCAAACCTAACGGCCATCATTAAAGTCGTGAGGAATAGCTGTGTTTGGTACAAGTCAAAATATCTGCTGTGCAAACATGCATCACAAACAAGCGCGTGGCTGTAAATCATTCAAGCTTCTGTAATAAACGGGTTGTCGTGTGTGTGTGTGTGTGTGTGTGTGTGGTTTTTTTTGCAGGTGGTTTTGGGAATCCAGTGTGAGATGCGGAGACAGCTGAGGAGTTTCATCTCCCTGGAGAGGTTACCGCTGGTCTCGGAGCCCGTGGGCTCAACCTGTCACAGGCCGGCACGTCCTCCCCCCTTCGGCTCCCGGCCCTCTATTCTCGGCCCCAGCATCAGATTTGCGGTTTCTCACGGTCGAGTGAGTGCTGAAGTCATCGGAGTGGCCAGCGAGGACAGCCGCCGGGTGGCAGCCATTTTAAACGGCGCCGTCCACCTCAGCGGCCTGAGCTTCACCGTGCACGGCTGCGACACCCACCACTTCCTCCAGTCCCGGCCCATCGAGGAAGACCTGGCCCTGGGGCTGGGAGTCGGGGGGCGCGTCCTGGAGAGCGGCGTGAACGTGAGCGTGTCTCAGATGAGCGCCACGGTGAACGGCAGGACTCGACGATTCGCCGACATCACTCTCCAGCAGGGGGCGCTGTGCCTGTGCGTGCGCTACGGCGGCAACGAGGAGGAGGAGAGGGCGCGGGTGAGGGAGGAGGCGAGGAAGAGGGCGGTGGAGGGAGCGTGGGAGAAGGAGAGGAAGCGGGTGGATTTGGGGGATGCAGGGAGCCGGGCGTGGAGCGAGGCGGAGAAGCAGCAGCTGCTGTCCGGAGGACGCGTTCAGGGTTACGACGGCTACTACTCCCTGCCTATAGAGCAGCAGCTGGAGCTGTCCGACTGCCCCTCCAACATCCACTTTATGACACTGAGCGAGGTGGGGGGCAGGTAACAGAGACACATGAGCAGCCCCCCACCCCACCAAAGACTGCCTGTTTCTACTCTACTCTGATTTGTTCTACTGTTTCTATACCGTATCGAGGAAAAAAAAAGAAGAAGAAGAAGAAGACGACGACGACAAAGAAGAAGAAGAACAAGACGAGATATTAGGGGGGGAAAAAAAAAACTTCCAAATGCCTTTAATTGTGACAAAATGATGGTATTTTATTATTATCGTCCAGTTTCTCCGATTTCTAACAGTGGCACAAGCAGTGTGGTTTGGCTGTGGCTTCGCTTTTTGTATCCCGACTGACCGACTGACTCACTGATAGACTGACTGTCATTCGCTGTTTCAACACTGTTCATCATTTCGGACTGTGTTCGACGTCACCGAACTGTAGAGATGAAGACTTTAGGATTGCCAGTGAATAATCCTCTTCATGACTCAAATCAAGAGCTCTCCGGTTGCCATTTGAGTTCCTACATGGTTTACCTCGGATATACTATCGTTTACATATTGTGTAAGAGAGGCCTTGTCGACTCTGACACTCCCCTTTAGAGAAGGAAACCTCCTGTGGTTTTCTGCCTCTGGTGTGCTCCAACAGTAGTTTGTATGAGTGTGTATACTAAAAATCAAGAATGTACATAGCCAGTGCTTTCACACTGAAAAAAAAGTGCTCAACTGGAAATTATGTTGTTCATAAGTGTCAGTATTGTTAATCAATAGAAAAACAGTTACATTTTTGCAAAGAATTATACATGGCTATAGTAAATATTCTCGCTGAAAAATCTGACTTTATTGGGTTACAATGCTGATTAAAGTTATTATGTGTGAATTACCAGATTGCTCTCTGGGATTTCATAGGAATTGTTGCTTATTATTTCTCTCCGTGTCTGTTCTCTCTCTCTCTCTCTTTTTCTTTTTCTTTTTTCTTCTTCTTCACGTCTTCTCTGTCTCCGCGCCTTCCCTCCAACACATTTGTTGTGCTGTCTTTGTTCTTGTTTCTGGGAGTTTGTAAGTTTCAAATCTGTGCTGTCATTATCACCCATCATTATGGCTCAAACTGAGATATGCATGAGAAACCTGTCAGAAGAAGAAGAAGAAGAGGAAGAAGAAGAAGAAGAAGAAGAAG